GGCGGAGCCTTGGCAGCTTCAGCTCTGCCAGGCTGGCCGGCATCTCGTCAGCTCTGAGGACGCTGGGGCATAGTACAAGGCCTGAGCCTGGCCCGGGCTCTGGCCTTGCCATGGCCGATGGCCTGAGGCCGGTTTTTTTTCTTTTTTGCAACAGTTTTTATTGAGGTATTCCATACAGTTCATCCGTTTAGAGTGCACAGCCAGGAGTGGTGGCTCACGCCTATAAGCCTAGCACTTTGGGAGGCTGAGGCAGGCGGATCACTTGAGGTCAGGCATTCAAGACCAGCCTGGCCAACATGGTGAAACCCCATCTTTACTAAAAAAAAAAAAAAATACAAAAAAAAATTAGCTGTGCGTGGTGGCGCATACCTGTAATCCCAGGTACTCAGGAGGCTGAGGCAGGAGAATTGCTTGAACCCGGGAAGCGGAGGTTGCAGTGAGCCGAGATTGCGCCACTACACTCCAGCCTTGGTGACAGCGCGAGACTCTGTCCCAAAAAAAAATTAGCCAAGCACCGTGTTGCGCGCTTGTAGTCCCCACTACTCGGGAGGCTGAGGCAGGAGAATTGCTTGAACCCGGGAACTGGAGGTTACAGTGAGCCCAGATGGCGCCATTGCACTCTATCCTGGGCAACAGAGCGAGACTCTGTCTCAAGAAAAACAATAATAAATAAAGTATACAATTCAGTGGTTCTTAGTATATTCACAACATTGTGGAAACATCACCATAATTGATTTTGGAACTTTTTAAATCACCCTTTCCTTTCAGGAACTTCCCCCAATCCGCTCCAGCTCCTGAAAGCCTATAATCTCCTTTCTGTCTCTATGGATTTGCCTGTTCTGGACGCTTCACATAGGTGGAAGTCTGTGGCGTGTGGTTCCTTGGGACTGGCTTTGCTGGCGTGGCGCGGTCAGCCTTTCGGCCCGCCTGGTCTCCCACGGAGAAAGAGCCTCTGTGTGTGTGCTTGCCACGTCTCAGTGCTTCGCTCGCCACAGCCTTAGGCCGGAAATTGGCAGAGTCATGATGAATGTGGCGGTTGCCCCTTGAGATTATTCTGGTCCCAGGTACGCCCAGATCAGGAAATCGATGCCCCCGCTGCCGTCAGCACGCTGGTGAGTCACCTTTGCTGAGCCTGAGTTTTCTCCTCTGTGACATGGACACTCGGTGGTCGGCCCGTCGCATTCCTTGTCAAGTGGGATGGGAAGTAGGGGATGGTCCCTCGAGGAGGTCTAGCATCTGGGCAGAAGTGGCAGTGAGGAGTTACCGCTGTGCACACAGAGGTTCTCAGAGCAAGGAAAGGACATAGTTATATTTCCTTGTGAGGTGGTGGTGCCTTCGTCACTCTCGACACAGGGGAAAATACACACCCATTGCCTGCCTGGGTCGGCCCTGAGGGCCAGCCCCAGCCTCCCCAGCCTGCCCAGGGCGGTCTTGCACTTTCCCCCACCTCCTGATTCAGGCACCCTGTAGGAGTGGCTGGGAGGGGCCAGGGTGGGAGTGATTTCACTTTGTCCACGCCCTGAGAGGTGCGGCAGCCTCCTTGCCTGGGAGGAGCTAGGGCCTTGTGAAAATGAGGTTTGCTTTTCAGCTAATATTTCTGAGCATTTATTGCCAGGGCCAGGTTCCGTGCTAGGTGCCGCCCTCAGGTGCCCATGGTAACCTAGGAGGAAGGTTCTAGAGGAAGCCTTGTAGAGCCACGAGTGTGCACCTCCAGCGCTTCATTGCTGTGTCATAGAGATGCTTCCAGGCGGCAGGTCAGAGTGCACAGCTCAGGGAGACAGAGACAGTGGTGACAAAGGCGGGGCTCGCTGCTTGAGCCAGGCAGGCCAGGGAAGGCCCTTCTGTGAGGTGAATGCTTGGTAAGAGATCCGAAGATGAGAAGAAATGAGACAAAAAGAAGACAGAGTCGCTGAGGTAGACCCAAGCTTAGTGTGTTCTGGAAACAGAAGGCCAGCGTGGCCAGGGCGAGTAGGAAGTGGGAGGCCATTGAGAGTCCCAGGCGCTGACCTGACGTGAGGGCGAGTCTGATTTTCCCGTCAGCAAGCTCTGCATGGCTGTGGGGAGGGGGATGAGCAGGGGGCACCTGCGGTCGAGTGTGGGGGGCCTGCTGTCACCTGGTGGTCATGCAGGCAGAAGGGGTGGAATGGTTATGTTTGGGGAGGTCAGTGGTGCCTGGGTCGGGGTGGGAGGCCTGAGAAGTCCCTAGATTTCTGGTGGTGCCTGGTTGGAGGAGAACTCAGGTCTCTGGCTGAGCTGTGCTGTCACAGCTGGTCTGGGAGGGACCTGAGGACCACAGCCCTCCACCCTGAATCCAGGGGTGTCTGTTGAGTAAGCACTAGGAGCTGGGACAAGGCGGACAGGGAGCTTACCATCCAGACAGGTCCCTCCAGGGTGGGCCTGGAAATGACAGGTTCCTCCCTGAGATGAGAGTCGGGGTCACTGTGGCCAGGGCTGGTCCCTCAGGCAGAGCGAGTGTCAAACTCCTGACCTCGGGTGATCTGCCCGCCGGGGCTTCCCAAAGTTCTGGGATTATAGGTGTGAGCCACTGCGCCCGACCTTAGAAGGAATATTGGGAGTCTGGGCGTGGTGGCTTATGCCTGTAATCCCAACACTTTGGGAGGCCCAGGTGGGCGGATCACCCACGGTTAGGAGTTCGAAACCAGCCTGGCCAACATGGTGAAACCCCATTTCTACTAAAATACAAAAATTAGCCGGACGTGGTGGCGGATGCATGTAGTACAGCTACTGGGGAGGCGGAGGCGGGAGAATCGCCTGAACCCGGGAGGCGAAGGTTGCGGTGAACCTAGATTGTGCCACTGCACTCCAGCCTGGGCGACAGAGTGAGACTCCGTCTCAAAGAAAAAGGATTATTGGGAAAAGTGGACTGGTGAGGGGTAAGGGGTGAGTCACTGGGTGCTGCGGACTGGGACCTGGCAGACCCCCCAGAGGAGCAGGGGTTCAAATGCCTGGAGGCTGCTGCTGTCTCCCCCAGTCCTCCCGCTGCCGCCATGACTGTCATTGGTCACAGAGCTCTTCCCTCTGCTCCACTCTCAAATGTCATTGGCCAGGTTTAGGGACCTATAGTGTCATATCAAGGTTGTTGCCAGCCTGGAGTCACCGAGGCAGACCGGCAGCCTGGGAGCGAGGTCTGGACTGCAGCCTCCCGAGCTGAGCCCAGCCTTAGGGTGGTCAGGGTGGATGAGCGAGGAGATCCTGGCCCCAGGCTGACCTGGCTTCAAGTTAGGCGGGAAGGAGAGGAAAGGAGGCCCAGGCGGCGTTTGACCTGCCTGAGGCCATGTGTGGGACTCTGTCCTGCCCGTTGTCAGCCTGGACTGCTCGCCTAAGCTTGGATGAAGTCTCTTCCCTGGGCCTGGTGCTCCATGTCTCCCTGTCTCTTCCCTGGGGTCTGGGACTGAGTCAGGCCTGGCGGCTGATGGGCACTGCGGTGACAGGTCAGAGGGGCTTGAGGACATGGTGGAGGCCTGTGCTAAGGGAATGACGGAACTGGAAGAAGCTGCAGAAAGGCGTTGAAGGAAAGGGACTAACATCTGTGCCTGGGAGTGACGGCGGTGAAGGGCTGTGGGAGAGGCACCCCGGCCTCCCGTGCCGGCTCTGCTCTGTTCCCAGCATGCTTTGTGGTGAGTTGGGGGCAGCAGTGGCCTTAGCTGGTGATATGGTTGTCAGGAGGCCGGTGACGAGCCTGAGCTCTGGTCAGTGTCTTAACTGATGAGAACTCCACAAAGGCTGTCTGCTGGGACCAGATGGCCTTTGAGATGCCAGGATGCTGCCTGACTTACCGGGCTTTGGTTGCCCCTTGTCCTCTGTGGCGGGGTGATGGCAGCTTGCTTGGGGGCTGCTGGTGGCTTGGACATCGTGTGTACAGCACACATGCAGAGCCAGGACCATTGTCACCAGGTGCCGAGAGCACACGTCGCAGGTGAGCTCTGCAGTGGACGGTCTGTGTGGAGGCTTTGTAGGGCCCTGCGGAGCAGTGACATAGTACAGGGCAGGGGCTCAGAATGGGGTTGCCTGGCATCTTGTTAATGCTCTGTGTATGTGTCCTTATTGCCAGTGAGTTCCTGTGCAGGAGTGTTTAGGGGCTGGAACCAGGCCGAGGAACCAGACGCTGTCCTCCAGAGGGCGGGAGCCAGCTCCAGATGGGGACAGGGTCAGGGCTGGGTGTTGCTGGCTTTGCTCTTCCTCTGCAGAATCTGTCTCTCCCACCCTGGGTTCCTTCAGGTCCTGGTCAGTGACTGTTCTGGGAGCCCCTCCCTTCCAACTTTTCCTCTTCCTCGTTCCAGCCCAGGTGCTGGGTGAGAGGATGGTTGGGGTGTGTTTGTGTGTGAGTGGTGTCCAGGCAACGGCCACAGCCTGGAGACGCACAGACTTCCTCTCTTCCCCCTGCCACCGCCCCATGCCTCCCACGCAGCCTCGGGTGATTTGCTGGGCCAAGCAGCAGCCGTGTGCTGAAAGTCATTGGGCGTTTGAGTTTGTTGAATAAATACAGGTTGAAGCAAATTTGAAGACAGAGGTTCAGGCCCCGCCCCTGCAGTGTCCCACCCAAAAGTAGGGATAGTGGACCCAGACCCTCATGGGGAGACAGGGCCTGAGGCCTCTCAGTGCACAGTGTCCAGCCTCTACTCGCATGCCCTGCACACAGTCCACACTGGGGACTTCACCAGGCCTGAGGCCTCGGGTGTGAAGTGACCCCCCGGACCTCAGGCGAGGTAGCCTGGAGGCTGGAGGTGGGGAAGAGGGGTGGGCTCGAGGGCAGCTGTAGGAGCCTGGTACTCAGTGGGAGCCTTATTAAGCATGAGTGATGGAGGCACTGAGCCTGCGGGCAGTCCCAGGGTGGGGCTGGGCTCAGTGTGAGGGAGAGGGCTGGGTCTTGGGGAGAGGCTGTGCCCAAGGTGGGCACTCAGCCCCTGTGGTCAGCCCCTCGTCCAGCAGGGACTCCCCTGGGGCGTCTGACGCAGCGCTGGTTGTGTCCATGCCTGTAGGGCGCCATGTTTTGGAAGTTTGACCTGCACACAAGCTCACACCTGGACACGCTGCTGGAGCGGGAGGACCTGAGCCTGCCGGAGCTGCTGGACGAGGAAGACGTGCTGCAGGAGTGCAAGGTGGTCAACCGCAAGCTGCTGGACTTCCTGCTGCAGCCACCCCACCTGCAGGCCATGGTGGCCTGGGTCACCCAGGAGCCGCCTGCTAGCGGTGAGGAGCGGCTTCGCTACAAGTGAGTTCCCTAGCTCCTGGCCAGCTCGTCCCTATCAGCATCACACATACCTTCACTACGCAAGCCTCACAGCTACCCTGAAATGCGTCAGTATCAGTAAACTCCAGTTTGGGGATCAGGAAAGCGAGGCAGGGAGCAGCCAGGCCCCTGCACAAGGCCTCACAGCTCACTGGGTGCAGACCAAGGAAGGCAGTGGCATAGTCACAGGAGCCACAAAGTCATGGGCCCAAGCGATCCTCCCGCCTCAATCTCCCAAGTAGCTGGGACCACAAGTGTGTGACAACATGCCTGGCTGGTTTTTTTCTTTATTCGACGCTTTTTATTTTATTTATTTTTTATTAAAAAAATTTTTTGTGTGTTTGGGAAACATTTGTCTGCTATTGAAGACACTTTAAGGTTACTTATTTTTTGGCCGGGCGCGGTGGCTCAAGCCTGTAATCCCAGCACTTTGGGAGGCCGAGACGGGCGAATCATGAAGTCAGGAGATGGAGACCATCCTGGCTAACACGGTGAAATCCCATCTCTACTAAAAAAATACAAAAAACTAGCCAGGCGAGGTGGCGGGCGCCTATAGTCCCAGCTACTCGGGAGGCTGAGGCAGGAGAATGGCGTAAACCCGGGAGGCGGAGCCTGCAGTGAGCTGAGATCCGGCCACTGCACTCCAGCCTGGGTGACAAGAGTGAGACTCCATCTCAAAAAAAAAAAAAAAAAAAAGATTACTTATTTTTTAATCCAAGTAATACTCAAAAGACACTTTTTTTTTTGTTTTTGGAGACTCACTCTGTCACCAGGTTGGAGTGCAGTGGCATGATTGGCTCACTGCAACCTCTGCCTCCCGGATTCAAGTGATTCTCCTGCCTCACCCTCCTCAGTAGCTGGGACTATAAGTCACCACACCTGGCTAATTTTTGTATTTTTAGTAGAGACGGGGTTTCACCATGTTGCCCAGGCTGGTCTCAAACTCCTGACCTCAAGTGATATGCCTGCTTTGGCCTCCCAAGGGGCACCTCCCCACAGTCCTAGAGCAGATTGTGGTCCCTCAGGGCCTTGAATGGCATGCTGCTGGGGTGGCTCTTGTCTTGGAGCTGTCAGGCACTGTGTGAGAGTTTGGAGAAGGGAGGCAGGAGGTGGCCTGGAAGTTGAGCAAGGTTCCAGGAGTCAGCGGAACTGGGGCAGTGTACGGGGCCGCAAGTGAAGCCGCTGAGAGTCAGAAGGGATGAGCGTTAGCTGTTGGGGGATTGGGAAGCACAGGAGCTTCAGGACCAGGCTTGTCTTGAGGGTGGTGAGGAGCCTAGGATGGGACGGCTGGGTGTTAGCAGGGTAGGGGAGGCCTGGTGTGGGCCCTTATTTCTGCGTCAGCCCTGTCCTCTGCCTTGTCATGCCCTTTCCCCTTCCGGAATGGGGTCTCTGCGGCCCCAGGAACCCAGTGCCCGGTGCAGAGAAGAGGGTAGAGCCTTGCCCCCTACCCCAACCTGAGCCTCCACCCACCTGTGCTTGCCTCCCAGGTACCCCAGTGTGGCCTGCGAGATTCTGACCTCAGACGTACCGCAGATCAATGACGCCCTGGGTGCTGATGAGTCCCTCCTGAACCGGCTCTACGGCTTCCTGCAGAGCACCGGCAGCCTCAATCCGCTGCTGGCCAGCTTCTTCAGCAAGGTCATGGGCATCCTCATCAACCGCAAGACGGACCAGGTGCCCTGGCCCCCACCCTGATGCCACCGTGGGGTTGGGGGTGGCGGCTGGGCCAGGCCCTGTGCATGACGCAGCCCATGTGCCCCCAGCTTGTGTCCTTTCTGCGGAAGAAGGATGACTTCGTGGACCTGCTGCTGCAGCACATCGGCACCTCGGCCATCATGGACCTGCTGCTGCGCCTGCTTACCTGTGTGGAGCGGCCCCAGCTGAGGCAGGACGTTGTCAATGTGAGCAGGGCCGGCTCCTCTGGGGGTAGGGGGCTGGACACAGTGGATGGTGATGCAGCCCCCGCCTTCTCACCCTCAGTGGCTCAACGAGGAGAAGATCGTCCAGCGGCTGATTGAGCAGATCCACCCGTCGAAGGATGAGAATGTGAGTGCTGCCAGTGCCCCTGCAGCTTCCCCTTAGAGTCCGTTCCCCATGCCCAGCTCCCCGCTTTTAAAAGAGGAATTGGGGCTGGACGCGGTGGCTCGAGCCTGTAATTCCAGCACTTTGGGAGGGCGAAGTGGGAGGATTCTTGAGCCCATGAGTTTGAGACCAGCTTGGGCAACATAGTAACACCCATTTCTACATAAAAACTTATGTGCGTTGAGTGTGGTGGTGCACACCTGGAGTCCCCGCTACTTGGGAAGCTCAGGAGGATTGCTTGAGCTGGGAGGTCAAGGCTACAGTGAGTCATGATCACACCACTGCACTCCAGCCTGGGTGACAGACCCTGTCTCAAAAAAGGAAAAAAAGAAATTGGTGAGAAAAGAGAGCCTTGAGAACGAGGTATATCCATGCCCTTTGAGAAAAGGAAGGAAACTTGACTCAAATGATTCTCCCACCTTGGCCTCCGAAAGTGCTAGAAAGGTTTTTTTCATGACCCAGGAACTTGGCACATAATGCCTTGTAGGGAGGGGCCCTCCTCATCACCTGTCCCAGCCCTGGCCCCACATCCTTCCCTGCCCACCCTGACCTGTGCTGTTGCTGGGCCTGGCAGCTTTTTCCCTGTCTCCTGCCTGATTGAACCCCTCCATGTCCTTCTTTTTTTTTTTTTTTTTTTTTTTTTTTTTTTTTTTTTTTTTTTGAGACGGAGTCTCACTCTGTCGCCCAGGCTGGAGTGCAGTGGCCGGATCTCAGCTCACTGCAAGCTCCGCCTCCTGGGTTCCCGCCATTCTCCTGCCTCAGCCTCCGGAGTAGCTGGGACTACAGGCGCCCGCCATCTCGCCCGGCTAGTTTTTTGTATTTTTTAGTAGAGACGGGGTTTCACCGTGTTAGCCAGGATGGTCTCGATCTCCTGACCTCGTGATCCGCCCGTCTCGGCCTCCCAAAGTGCTGGGATTACAGGCTTGAGCCACCGCGCCCGGCCCCCTCCATGTCCTTCTAAGGGTCCATCCAGCAGCCTTGCTTTCAAGGACCCTTACATCCTCCCCTTTAGTTCGGGGGGGGCCCCACATCCATGTGTTTCTCCAGCTTACGTCTCCATCTCTGTCCTGGTGCCCAGCACAGGGCCTAGTGTAGAGTAGGTGTTTGTCAAGAGCCTCCGACGTCCGAGGCCCCCGGGAGCAACGTGTCCCTCCCCGTGCCAGCTGCTGCCTCTGAGAGGCGTACAGGCTTGCAGAGCAGAGATATGGCTCTGGGCTTACCCAGGCTGGGGCCTGTCCCTGTGAGGGCCCTGAGGCATGGCCCAGGAGCAACACAGCCAAGCCCTGGCGGCTGCCCGTTGGGTTAGGCTCAGCTCTGCTTATGCTTTTCTCTTCTGTAGCAGCTTTACTGAGATATAAATTACACAGCATACGACTCACCCACTGAAGCTTACAGTTCAGTGCTTTTAGTGTATTCACAGCGTTGTTTATCATCTTGTTGAATTTAGATTATTTTTTATCACTCCAAGAAACAAGTCCTGCCTGTAATCCCAGCGTTTTGGCAGGTGAGGCTGGAGGATCGCTTGAGCCCAGGAGTTTGAGACTAGCCTGGGCAACATAGCAAGACCTTGTCTCTACAAAAAATTTGAAACTTAGCTGGCATTGGTGGTGCACACCTGTAGTCCTAGCTCCTCAAGAGTCTGAGGCAGGAGGATCTGTTGGGCCCAGGAGTTCAAGGCTGCAGTGAGCTACAATGATACCACTGCACTCCAGCCTGGGGTGATGTAGAGGCCGTATCTTTTTTTTTTTTTAGACAGGGTCTTGCTCCGTTGCCCAGGCTGGAGTGCAGTTGTGTGATCCCAGGCTGGAGTGCAGTGGTGTGATCCCAGGCTGGAGTGCAGTGGTGTGGTCTTGCCTCACTGCAACCTTGACCCCCTGGGCTCAAGCTATCCTCCTGCCTCCGCCACATGAGTGACTGGAACTACAGGCGCGTACCAGCATTCCTGGCTAATTATTTTGTACTTGTAGAGATGGAGTTTTTGCCATGTTGCCCAGGCTGGTCTCAAACTCCTGGGCTCAAGTGATGCTCCCACCTCGGCCTTTCAAAGTGCTGGGATTATAGACATGTGTTGTCACACCCAGCTGAGACCTTTTCTCCAGAAAAAAGAAAAAAAAGATACCCTGTATTCATTAGCACCCCCTCCCAATTTTTCCCTTTCTCTTCTCAGCCCCTGGCAACCACCAGACTATTCTGTCTCTGGATTTGTCTTTGGACATTTCATAAAATGGGATCATACACCATGTGGTCTGTGTCTGGTTTCTTTCACTAGCATGATGTTTTGTGGCTCATTCATGTGGTTGCGTGGATCAGTTTCACTGTTTTTGTGGCTCATTCACGTGGCTGTGTGGATCAGTTTCACTGTTTTTGTGCTCATTCACGTGGTTGTGTGGATCAGTTTCACTGTCTTTGTGGCTCATTCACGTGGTTGCGTGGATCAGTTATACTCCTTTTTTTGGCTGATTAGCCCTCCCCTGTGCGGACAGACCAGGTTGGGCATACCCACTCGTCAGTCGAAGCTGTCTGGGTCGTTGCGGGCAGTGCTGCCGGCCCTGTGTGCGAGCTCGCGGGCCTTCTGTGGATGCCTCCTGTCCTGGGGAGCCTTCCTGGGTTCCTGTTCTCTCCACCATTTTCCCTCTAGCAATTGGTGCTTCTGTGCCCCCTTCTTCTTAACTCGTGTCCCTGTGTCTGGGTGACCGTTTTTCCCTGGATGGTCAGCTCGGGGGAGGGGCTTCCAGCAGCAGGCTGCAGAGGGCCCGGTGGCCCAACCAGGATCCTCACCTGTCTCTCCCCATCCCAGCAACATTCCAACGCGTCCCAGTCCCTGTGTGACATCGTCCGCCTGAGCCGGGAGCAGATGATCCAAGTCCAGGACAGCCCGGAGCCTGACCAGCTGCTGGCCACCCTGGAGAAGTGGGTGTGCGGGCGAAGCTAAGGCTGGGGGGAGCTGACTTGGGGATGCCCTGGGCCCCTGGCCCCTCACCCTGACCCCCGCCCCCACCCCCATAGGCAGGAGACAATTGAGCAGCTCTTAAGCAACATGTTCGAGGTGGAGCAGAGCCAGTCTGTCATCGTCAGTGGGATCCAGGTGCTGCTGACCCTGCTGGAGCCCAGGAGGCCGAGGTGAGGGATATAGGCCGCAGACCATGCATGCTGCCCATCCCCTGGGGCTCTCTGGCCCCTCAGAGGCGGGTCTCGGTGTCCACCAAGTGAAACTGCCGCCTCCAAGTGGCGCCTTGCTCTGGTGGCCGCTTGTGCTCCCTGTGCAGTGGACAGTATGGGCCCAAGGGAGGAATCTTCCTGTCTTGTTTGACAAATGAGGGCGCTGAGGCTGAGGCCACTGCTGCAGCTTGTGTTGGGAGGGACCTCAGGCCCCCGTGCCCCTGCCTTACCATAAAGGCCTCTAGCTTGTTGGGTGTGCCTTCCCGCCCTCATCCCTCACCGGTGCCCCCACAGTGGACTGCCAATGCTGCCACCTGGCGAGCTCCCCACCCCACCCCACCCCAGCCAGGTGTAGTCTGAAGGGCCTCAGAAGAGAGCGGCGCCGGGGGCATGTGGCTCCTCGTCTTCCTCCAGACCCTGCAGACTCGGTCCTTGCGCCTGCTGTCGTGTGGGCACGCAGGCCGTCTAGGCTCACTCTGCCTTTGACCCTGCCCTGCTGCAGGTCCGAGTCCATGACTGTGAACAACTTCTTCAGCAGTGTGGATGGGCAGCTGGAGCTCCTGGCCCAGGGAGCCCTGGAAAGCACTGTGTCCAGTGTGGGCGCCTTGCATGCCCTGCGCCCGCGGCTCAGCTGCTTCCACCAGCTCCTGCTGGAGCCTCCCAAGGTCAGAGGCGGGGGTTGTGGTCCTTGGGGAGGCGGGGGAAGCAGGAAGCGCAGCCCTTGGGAACCAGGGCTCCCTGTATCTGCAGCTGGAGCCGCTACAGATGACGTGGGGCATGCTGGCTCCGCCTCTGGGCAACACGCGGCTGCACGTGGTCAAGCTCCTGGCCAGCGCCCTGAGCGCCAATGATGCAGCCCTGACGCAGGAGCTCCTGGCACTGGATGTGCCCAACACCATGCTGGTGCGGGACTGGACTGAGCTAGGGGCTCGGGGGCTGGGGGCTCAGGGGCTGGGGTGGGACCAGACTGAGCTAGGGGCTCGGGGGCTGAGGGTTAAGGGGCTGGAGTGGGGACCGGACTGAGCTAGGGGCTCGGGGGCTGGGGTGGGACCGGACTGAGCTAGGTGCTCGGGGGCTGGGGGCTTAGGGGCTGGGGTGGGGACCGGACTGGGCTGGGGGCTCGGGCGCTGGGGGCTCAGGGGCTGGGGCAGGGCCTCTCTGGTACCAGCCCTGTGTCCTCCCATAGGACCTCTTCTTCCACTATGTCTTCAACAACTTCCTGCATGCCCAAGTGGAGGGATGCGTGAGCACCATGCTGAGCTTGGGGCCACCTCCTGACAGCAACCCTGAGACGCCCGTCCAAAACCCTGTTGTGAAACATGTGAGCTGGGACTCCCTGATCCCCTCCTTCTGGGCCCATCCCCTGTGGGCGCACCCTCTCCAGAGGCCTACCCCTCACTTCTTCCTCCCACAAGTGTTCATTGGGTAGTGTTAGGTGCCAGCACCCAGATGGGATGTGGGAGGCATGGCCAGGGAGAAACGGGGATGAAACATGCAGGTGCAGGGAGCAGTGGGCCCGTGACTTGAACTGAAGAGCTAGGGGTGGGCGGGAGCAGACCTGCGAGCGGCTGTGTGTGCATGAGTGTGCACACATGAGTGTGTGTGTGAGAGCACGTGTCTGTTAGTGCATGCATGTGTGTGTGCGTGTGCACGCATGAGTGTGTGAGCATGTATGCATGTGTGTGCACGTGTGTGTATGAGTGTGTTAGTGCATGCATGCGTGTGTGAGCACGTGTGAGTCTGCATGCATGTGTGTGTGTGTGTATGTATGTGTGTGTGTGCGTGTGTGTGTGTTTGTTCGTGCATGTGTGTGTGTGTGTGTGTGTGTGTGTGTGTGTGTGTGTGTGTGCGTGTGTGTGTGTGTGTGTGCGTGTGTGCGTGTGTGTGTTTGCATGCATGCGTGTGTGAGCATGTGTGAGTCTGCATGCATGAGTGTGTGAGAGCATGTATGCATGTGTGTGCACACATGAGTGTGTGTGCATGCACCACATACTCTTCGTAGAAAGACCAGAGAGACTTGGCTGGATGCCAGGGTCCCAAGCCCCAGCTTCCACCCCTCCTTCCCACTCCCATGTGGATGAGCTGGGGCCTGGTGAAGCATCTGCTGAGGAAGGGACCCCTGCTGCAGTGCAGAGCTCCCCATACGTGTGCAGACCCCCCCAGGCCATCCTGTCCTGCTGTCCCACAGCTGCTGCAGCAGTGCCGCCTGGTGGAGCGGATCCTGGCTTCCTGGGAGGAGAACGACCGTGTACAGTGAGCACCTGCTGCCCTTTGTGTCTCCAGGGGCTGGGACTGTCTGGGTGGGGGGCTGGGTCGGGACTGGGACTGTCTGGGTGGGGGACTGGGTCAGGCTGGAACTGCCTGGGTTGGGGGATGAGTCGGGGCTGGGCATCGTTGGGTCCAGTCCTGGCTTCTAGCCATGGCCTTCACTCTTGCCAGGTCTGCGGGAGGCCCTCGGAAAGGCTACATGGGCCACCTGACGAGAATGGCCAACTCCCTGGTGCAGAGCACAGAGAAGGGGCCCAATGCAGAGCAGCTGGGACAGCTGCTGAAGGGTGAGGGTCCCCAGGCCAGCCTGAGGGGTACGTGGGGGGCTTGAAGCCAGGGGATGCCTCATGTCTTCACCCCTCTCACCTACGCAGAGCTGCCCAGCGAGCAGCAGGAGCAGTGGGAAGCCTTTGTGTCGGGGCCCCTGGCGGAGACCAACAAGAAGAACATGGTGGACCTGGTGAGGCCTGGATTCTCCTACCGCTTCTCTTTCGGGCCAGTCTTAGCCTCCCCATCCTCATAGCTGCCTGCCCATCCTCGTCTGGGGGCTCCAGCAGGCCCTGACGCCCCGTCCTCTCCCCAGGTGAACACCCACCACCTACACTCCTCCAGTGACGATGAGGACGACCGGCTCAAGGAGTTCAACTTCCCTGAGGAGGCCGTGCTGCAGCAGGTGGGCCTGGGGCTGTGCGGGGCTGTGCTGGAGTGGGGTCCCCTCCAGCTCCCTCCAGCCCCAACCTCCGCACCCCCACAGGCCTTCATGGACTTCCAGATGCAGCGCATGACCTCCGCCTTTATTGACCACTTTGGCTTCAATGATGAGGAGTTTGGGGAGCAGGAGGAGAGTGTGAAGTGAGTGTCTCTTGTGCAGGGTCAGAGCCCTGTCCTGCCTCTGCAGCAGCAGGCGCGCCTACTTGTGTCTGTCCCCCACACCCACCTGCATGCCCTGTGAGGCTCAGCCTGCAGCTATGGCTGCTGCTGGGCACACGTTGGCCATGGCCTTGTGTGCATGTCTGCAGCCTCGTGTGTCTGCCTCCTCTTACATGAGTTCCGGCTCTGCAGTCTCTTCTCTCCGAGAGGCAGGCCATGAGGGTGGGGCACAAACATCTTCTGTGCTGGGGACACAGAGCAGGTCCCTCCCACTCCTGGAGCTAGCCTTAGGGGTCCCAGGCGGGAGGGGCTCAGGGTAGTGGGGACCAGCAGGTCCTGGCGCAGGGACTGTGAGGCAAAACTGCGCCTGCATGAATGCCCTCTGGGTCACGAGTCCGCCAGACACGAGGGTCCACTTCTCCCCTCCACAGGCCTCGAGGTGACTAAACATTTTTTTCCAATTACCAATTCTGCTTGTTTTGATTTGTGGGGCAACATCATCTTAACATCAGTCACCTCTGGGTGTTGTGATCGTAAACTTTTCTGAGTTTCTTGCCACAAGCGTGTGTTGCTTCTAGAGTCAGAAAAAAGTGACTGGACAGAGCGGCTCATGCCTGTAATCCCAGTACTTTGGGAGGCTGAGGCAGGCGGATCACCTGAGGTCAGGAGTTCGAGACCAGCCTGGCCAATATGGTGAAACCCCGTCTCTACAAAAAATACAAAAATTAGCCGAGCATGGTGGCATGTGCCTGTAGTCCCAGCTACTTGGGAGGCTGAGTTAGGACAATCGCTTGGACCCGGGAAGCAGAGGTTGCAGTGAGCTGAGATTGCGCCACTGCACTCCAGCCTGGGCAACAGAGCGAGACTCCATCTCGCTCTCCACAATGAGCTCATTTACGGCCAGGGAGACTGAGTCCCCAGGACATAGCCGGTTAGTGTGTGGGAGCTGGATGGCTGCCTATGGCTGCCCCGGGGTTCCTGTACAGCACAGCGTCAGGGGCACCACGATGAGGGATAGTCAGCTGTGCCTCGCTTAGTCCACAGCTGGACAGAGGTCCTCTCAGGTGCAGACATGAGACCCCGTGTGTGCTGCCTCCGTGCCCAGCGTGGAGACTTGCAGAGTGTTGGTCTTTGTGGGTCAGTGGCCTGTGCCGAGACCCCTGGAGAAGATGCTTAAGTGAAAACTGGGCTGGGCACAGTGGCTCACATCTTAATCCCAGCACTTAGGGAGGCCAAAGCAGGAGGATCGCTTGAGTTCAGGAATTTCAGCCCAGCCTGGGCAATGTTGTGAGACCATCTCTGCTTTTTTAATTAAAAGAAAAAAAAAAAAAACCCATCCTGGCATGAGGATGAAGGGACTGACTGGTAGATGGCATTAGTATCACCAGCTGCCCTTTTGGGATGAAACTATTAGCACTTCCTCTACCAAGAAAATTCCAGAGAGGTTAAAAAGTTAAGCGAACAAAACGAAACCTAGGAAGAGTTCCGGAATGGAAAGTGGATGACTGGTTTGAGCACCTCAGGGCTGAAGATGCTGCTCTGCAGAGCTCCTGTGGCAGGAGAAGCCAGGTCAGCTGAGGCTGCCAGTGCCGCGGGGACATGGGCTGCCCCGCCCTAGATCCCCTGCGTGCCCAGCGTGATCTCTGCTCCTCTGCTTCTCAGTGTCTAGGAGGGACTAAGGACACTTGCCTTGGAAGGTGGTTGGGAGAATGAAGTGCGTGAGTGATGTCTGTCACATGCCTAGTGTCCTTTATTAATAATTAACTGCCCTTTATCCGTTGATCTTTGTGGCACAATTTTTCATGAATTTGAGACAAATGATCCCTTGAAGTGTCCCTAACACGTGGGACAGAATGTGGACCCTCATGTTGAGGGAGGTGGGGTCCTGGCAGGCTCAGTTCAAGTTCTGATGTGATTATTTTGCCCATAACTTAGAATTTCAGCCACAGATCATAGACATCTTGAGGTTAGGGGATGTGCTTTACTGGGCTGTAGCCTCACATGCTGCTTGTGCCTGGCTGGTGTGAGTGTTAGCCTCCTACAGATGCCCCAAGGATGGGGACAAGGGCATGGGTCTGAATCCCTCTCTGGCACCTGTCCTTGGAGAAGCCTGAGGAGAGTCACTTAACATTTCTGAGCCCCATTTTCTCACTTCTAGAGCCAAGGGAAACAATTTACCTCAATGAGTGGTTTTAAGGATTTAAAGTGATCATCTATGTGAGATGTTGATATTCATATATCCTTAGGACCTTAGGACCAGTGGCTTGGGTTGTGCGTGAATTTGCAGATACTGACTCTGCAAGTAGTGAGGGTCAGCTCTACGTTGAGTGAAGAAAGGAATGTGGCCTTGTCCTGTGCTGCCCCCACCCCCAGGTGTACCCTCTCACCATGCCTCACCTTCTCTCCTAGCGCACCTTTTGACAAGACAGCCAACATCACCTTCTCCCTCAACGCCGACGATGACAACGTGAGTACTGCCCTGTCCCCTGGTGGTGGCGAGTGGAGGGGCGTGGGTCTGTGTGCAGTGTGGCCCATCCTCCTACCCCTGTGCCCTGCAGCCCAACGCCAACCTACTTGAGATATGCTACAAGGACCGCATCCAGCAGTTTGATGATGATGAGGAAGAGGAGGACGAGGAAGAGGCCCAGGGCTCAGGGGAGTCTGATGGAGAAGATGGCGCCTGGCAGGGCAGCCAGTTGGCCAGGGGGGCCCGTCTGAGCCAGCCCCCTGGTGTCCGGTGAGTCCCCCTCCAGTTTCCCTTCTCCAAGCTTCCACCACACAGCAGGGCCAAGGGGTCTACCAACACATTTGGACTGAGGCTGAAGTGAATGAAAAAAATAAGGAAGCTGCATTGGTGTGTGTATTAGTTGGGGGCACTTCCACTTTTGTGGTGATATAAATCTAATTCAAGGCCAAGCATGGTGGGCTCATGTAATTCATGAGTGCCTGTAATCCCAGCACTTTGGGAAGCCAGGGCAGATGGATTCCTTGAGTTCAGGAGTTTGAGACCAGCCTTGGGCAACATAGGGAGATCCTGTCTCTACAAAAATGAAAGTTAGATGGGCTTGGTGGTGTGCACCTGTAGTACTGGCTACTCGGGAGGTTGAGGTGGGAGGATGGCTCGAGCCAGGGAGGCAGAGGTTGCAGTGAGCCGAGATCATACCACTGCACCCCAGTCTGGGCAACAGAGCCAGACCTGTCTCAAAAAAAAAGGTTAGATGATGCATTAAGAAATCAACAAATTAACCAGGCACAGTGGCTCAAGCTTGTAATCCCAGCACTTTGAGAGGAGGCCAAGGTGGATGGATCACTTGAGCTCAGGAGTTTGAGACCTAGCCTGTGCAACATAGCAAAACCCTGTGTCTACAAAAAAAATACAAAAATCACCTGGATTGGTGACATGCGCCTATAGTCCCAGCTACTTGAGAGGCTGAGGTGGAAGGATCGCTTTAGCCTGGGAGGCGGAGGTTGCAGTGAGTTGAGATCGCACCACTGCACTCCAGTCTGGGTGACAGAGCAAGACCTGGTCTCAAAAAAAAAAAAAAAAAAGAATCAACAAATTAAAAGAAATCTAATTCAAATGAGTTTAAGTTATAAATAGAAAGGGATAATCTCTGTGGCTGAAAAAATAGGCAGGTCCTTGAGATATGGCTTGGTCTGTGTGCGTCTCTCTCCCTGTCTCCCCCTCTCCTTCCTTCATCCCTTAACTTCACTTCCTCTTGTTAGCTCTCATGCATGTTTTCCTAGAAAGTGGGGTAAGATGGTCCCAGGCAGCTTCTCTTTCCTCTAATTCCAGTAAAATGAGAGCTGATGACGTCCTTCTCCAGTGAGGCTGTGATCAGTTTTTTTGTTGTTTTTTTTTTTTTTTTTTTTTGGAGATGGAGTCTCGCTCTGTCGCCCAGGCTGGAGTGCAGTGGCCGGATCTCAGCTCACTGCAAGCTCCGCCTCCCGGGTTCACGCCATTCTCCGGCCTCAGTCTCCCGAGTAGCTGGGACTATATACAGGCGCCCGCCACCTCGCCTGGCTAGTTTTTTGTATTTCTTAATAGAGACGGGGTTTCACCGTGTTAGCCAGGATGGTCTCGATCTCCTGACCTCGTGATCCGCCCGTCTCGGCCTCCCAAAGTACTGGGATTACAGGCTTGAGCCACCGCGCCCGGCCTGTGATCAGCTTTTAGTGCAAATGTTACATTGTTTTTTTTCTCTTATTACTGGCCGGCCCCAGAATTGCTGTGATGAAATGGGTTCATGCCATGTAGATTTGACAGCATGAACACTAAGTCACCATCTGCAACTAAGTTTTTGCCTTACGACTTTTGATTTGGGAATTAGGCTGTTTTCACTTTTTATTGACATGTAACGTGAGTATAGACGACTGTACAGATCCTGAGTGTGTGGCCAATGGACATCCTTCCTCAGTGCCCAGACCCAGGAGCAGGACCTTCCCAGTACCCACATCCCCTCTGCTAGCCAGTATCCTCCCTCCTGAGGGTCAAGTTGTCCTGGCTTCTAACCCTGTAGATGAGTTTTGTCTCTGTTTTCACTTGATACAGCATGTAGCATCTCCTTTTGTGTCTGACCTCTTTTGCTCAGCACTCCTCTCGTGAGCTCCTTCCCTATTGTGTGTTTGGGTGCCCCTTGCTCTCGTGTAGTGGGGCCATGCTGTATGTGATGAGCTTGAATTGCTTGTTCTGCAGTTGATAGGCCTTTGGGCAGGTTCCTGTTGATCACTGCTGTGAGTGCAGCTGCTATGAATACTCCTGAACGTGTTGTTGGTGCACAAGTGTGTCATTGCTTGATTGAGCCAGGGAGGCAGAGGTTACAGTGAGCCGGGATCATACCACTGCACTCCAGTCTGGGTGACAGAGCAAGACCTGGTCTCAAAAAAAAAAAAAAAAAAAAAGAATCAACAAATTAAAAGAAATCTAATTCAAATGAGTTTAAGTTATAAATAGAAAGGGATAATCTCTGTGGCTGAAAAAATAGGCAGGTCCTTGAGATATGGCTTGGTCTGTGTGCGTCTCTCTCCCTGTCTCCCCCTCTCCTTCCTTCATCCCTTAACTTCACTTCCTCTTGTTAGCTCTCATGCATGTTTTCCTAGAAAGTGGGGTAAGATGGTCCCAGGCAGCTTCTCTTTCCTCTAATTCCAGTAAAATGAGAGCTGATGACGTCCTTCTCCAGTGAGGCTGTGATCAGTTTTTTTGTTGTTTTTTTTTTT